TATTTATACCAAGTGGCATCATGCTATTTAAAGAATTGTGTTTAATCATGCTCCCATCCTACTTAATTGTATTAAATCTACTTTTAACAGAAGAAACACACTGAATTGTACAGAAAAAAATTTAAAGTTCAAATAAATGTTTCTTCATAAGAGATATAATTTCCTAACAGATCTTTCTGAAATTAGTTCAAATTATGAAACCAATTAAACATAAAGTAATGATGTACTTTGAAATTATATTTTAATTTAGATGGTGTCAATTAATGATGAGAGACCAACACACTGAATCACGATCATTTTCTTTCTTTTTCTCCTTCAACACTCAAATCTCATTTTTCTTACAGTGATTTTTGGTTCTGCGTTTACAGGCTTTTAAACTCATTCTGTACTGTAGTTTGGAAGATGCTCAAGTGTACATTTCATGGAGTTTATGTTGTTATGTTGTCTGAAATTCCTCATGACTGGGACTTTACGCTGTCTGCCCCATCCTTGTAAAACCTGGCAGTGCCTAATGTCATTAAGGCACCATTCTCTCGGGACTATGTGAATATTGATTAACAATATTTTGTCACTGAATGGGATGGTGGAGAAATCTTAAGACAGCCCAGTTCTCTCAATTTTTTGCTTATTTACACCATTTGTCTAGATGACCGGGCAATTTTTTCTTTATATAAAATACAAATTGATTATGAGTTCTAGGTAAGAAACCTGCAGCAAACCACAGACCAAAGATGGCTCTCTAGATTATGGTCATGCCTTTGGTTTCATTTTGAGGGGTCTCTACTTTTTTGTTCTATATCATCTGTGTCCCTGAGAGCTCTTAGCGTCTCTCTAGCAACTTCTGTATTTCCATTAACATTTTTCTATGATATCTCCTTTCTCTTTGTTGTCGTTTGTATACTTTTAACACTCTCTACTCTGTATCTTGAAGTTAATGATTTATTATTATTTCAAAAATGATATTATTTGGCCATCCATTTGTCCTTCTAGTTAAGGATCTAGATCTATGATCTCCTTATAGGTTGTGAGAAAATGCTTCATGCTCCTTAGTTTTCTTTTACATACGATACTCTCTCTTCTTTCCCCTCTTCCTGCCAACTAGGTCTCCTGTTCTTCTGTCTTTATGCTTTATTTATATACAGTTCTTTTTGGTATTTTATTTGCTCTGATAGATAAAATCTGACTCTTCTCCACCTAAGATGGAGTTTGCTTCTTCTCAGACCTACAGTTCTGAGGGCAGTGTATTTCATGGTCTGCTAGGAAATACACTGGAGACTGGGGCAGGGAAGGGCAATGCACTTAGGAGAGAGTCCATCTTCTCCTTCTTTTAAGGTTCCATTAGCTTTCTCATGCAGAAGCTAAAGTATAGAGCTCATTCTTGTGAGGAGACATTCTTGGGTTTTCTAATATTTTCATGTCATAGTCACAGAATATCTGTCTCTTTTGATATGTGACCTTTTCCCACACATTCTTTTCCACAGAAATTGTTACCATTTTTTTGTCAGAGTATAGATATAGAATAGCATTATAGTTTCAGATTTTGAAATATAGATGAAAACTTGTAGAGTTGTGTTGCTTCAGCAGTGTGGTTTCTGAAGAATCAGTGGGTAGATTGGAATCTGGGACCTGCTGCTTCCCTGGGCCATTCACAATCTTCATTGGCTCTGGTCACTGGGTGTTAGAGTTTCTTGCATTATCTTATAACATTGATGTTGCTGGTAATAACTTTGGGGTATCTACTTTCTCATTTCTCCAATTCTGTAGACATGATGGGATAAAAATTTAACTTTTATTGATTTATTTTTAAATTATTTTATGTATATAAGTGTTTTACATGCATGTATGCCTGTGCACCTTGTGGATGCAGGGCCCACAGAAACCAGAAGAGGGTGTCAGATTTCCTGAATCTGGAGTTACAGATGGTTGTGAGCCAATAAGTGGGTGCTGGGAATTGAACCCTGGGTCCTCTGGAAGAGCAGTCGATATTCATAATCTCTGAGCCGTCTCTCCAATCCCAAGGATGGAAATCTAAGGCAGCTATATTAACACTAAAGATCACTTCTAGTTTGTGGTTCCAGGTTTGAATTGTGTGCTAGACCACCGATGACTCAAAGCCATGACATTGGACTCTGCCCCGTCTAACCTTGAGTTCAGAATAGGTTGCTACAACAGCCAACTCTAGAAAGTAAAATTCGCAGCATGCCCTTAGATTTTGTTGTCCAGAAGGGGCTATTTTGCTTTAACCCTTTTCATCTGTCACTGAAGACGTATCTCTCAGTGTCTGAGCTCCTTAGAAATCAATGTTCTAATTAGAACACAGTAGCTAATCTGGCCAAATGCTAATAAGTGAGAATTGTGATTTATCTAGCAACAAGGGCAGCATTCCGCATTAACAATTAAACGGTCTTTAGGGAAGAGGGCTATTTATTTCTTACTCTTCTCCCTAGCTGATTGGGTTCAGTTTGTGCTATTAGTAGCCTTCTATTTAATGGCTATTTATCTGAAAATCAGACATCAGAAACACAGTTTCAGGACTTTTGCCTCTGGGATCCATAGACTCTATTTGACTTTTCAATGACAACATGCTGCCCCTCCACAGAGGCCAGACCATATCGCAGACACTCCCCCATGTTCTATCAAAGTTGTCATGGATTTTTCTGAAAATCTAATCCATATGCAAGGACAAGTTCTGCTCCAGAACAGGACCAGAAGGGTAGGCTGAAGTTGAAGCTTGCATCAAAGGCTTGAACTGGTTGGCAGAGGTCTTTAAGAAACTTGGGAACTTTTCATTCTTTCTACATTCAGCACATTAACTAAGTACTACCTAAAAGCCTTCAGTCTCGCCTGCCCAGAAACCAAGTCAAAGGAGGGAAATTGCATTCCACCCAATACTGGCTACTTACATGAGACTTTTCTAGCCAGCTCGAATGGCATCTCCTCTGCCAAACCCCAAGCAACCTGACCGCCCTCCAACCCAGCTGATTCTCCTCTCCTTGGAGCTCTACCTCTATGTGTTCTGTCTTCCTCGCATCAGAATTCGCTTCCACCTGATTGGCCCCTGTGTCTCCTAAGGAAAAAGGCTTAAGCATATTCAATGTACAGAGCCCATGTGGTTGTTGGATATGGCCCTGATGATTGAACAGTTTTGGAGTGCCAGTTCTTTATTCAGACCTGCTGGAATTTAGACACACATACTCTCACAGATTGAATCTGGTTTCAAAGAACTCTTGAAACATTTCAGAATAAGAGTCCTTTCCAGTCAAGCACAGTAGGCTAAATGGAGAAGTCCAGCAGGTTGTGAGGCTGTGGGTGTGGGGGGGGGGGGGCAGCAGGCCTGTGAAGCAGCCAATACATAAAGACTTGCCACATGTTCATCTTTCTTCTACAGCTTCCATAATCTAATCGCCCGGATTCCGTGTTAATTAATGGCTTTTCGCTATTATCCGGACAGACACTTCTTAAACTAATGTGCTTATAAACGACCTGTGGATCATGCTTTAGAGTGCAGATTCCTTCCCAGTAGGCCCAGGAGGAGTGCGATCGCATGTCTCTCTGTTGAGCTCAGCGGATGTTATTATTGCTGATCCCAAACCACGCTCTGTGTATTCAGATTCCCTGTCATGCCAGTTATGAGGCAGCACCAATTTTGAAAAGAACTCCCTCTGTTCCTCACCTGGATTCTGGCTACAATTAAACTGATGAAAGCTCCATCCAAAGAGGTAGATTCAGCAGTGTCCAAAAAGAAAAAAAAATTGCTACTTTTTTGCTCTTTGTTTCATTGTCTAGACATCACCTGTCTTTGCCCGTACACATAAGGGATACTAGATGTTTCTACTCCAAGTGTATATCAAGGTTTTTTCAAATATTCTAGCTTGCCGCTATCTACTTAAGTCTCTACCATACTAAAATCATAATATCTCAGACCCACTAGGTAAAGAGAAATGCCTTTTAATATAACTATAAAACTAGTCTGAGGTGTGGTTCAGTGGTAAAGTACTTGCCTAGTACAAGGCCCTGGGTTGAGCTTCAACTCATATGTGCATATATATGTGTGTGTGTGTGTGTTTGTGTGTGTGTGTGTGTGTGTGTGTTTGGCATGCATATATACGTACATTAATCATTTTAAACAATAATTAAGAAATATTTTTATTTTATTTATTGTGTATGTGTGGCACGTGTATGTGCTGTCTGCACACATGTTGAGGGCACACATGTACATGTAGAGCCCAGAGGAGGATATCAGGTGTCCTGCTGTATCATTCTCCTCCTTACACCATTGAGATAAGATCTCGAAGAGATGGCAATCCTCCTGACCGCTTCTCACAATACTGGCCATTCCCAACTTTTAACACAGATACTGAGAATTTGAAATCAAGTCATTATGCTTATTCAGCAAGCGCTCTTGTCTGCTGAGCCATCTCTCTAGCCCGAAGAGAATTTCCTTAGTTAAATTTTTTAAAAAAACAGTGATGTACAGTACCCATGAGAATCTATTTTCCCACTGACTTTTAATGGTGCCTTTGGCAACAGGTATTACCCTTTTTCAGTTCATAGCCCTACTACCAACCATGGAAGTCAAAGCCCACTGGATCACTGATTTCCTATTTGTCCGTCAAACCCACCTTTCACCAATACAAGATCCCCTCCTAGCTTTTCCTTTTGCAGGGCTTTCTCCCACATTCCCCATTATTCTAGGCCAAATCAAGTACTCAAGGGATGTTTTTCAAATCAAGTCTAGAAGACTCTTCTAACTCACCATTCAACTACACTTGATAACACTGCTCAGGAGAGTCTTGGTCATCAGATCTTCCCTTTGCACACTTTGGTCTTTCGTCATTACCCTTGGTGGTAAGATGGTAAACTGACCAGGAATGGGAGGTGTTTACACCATGCAGGATACATTGAAGACACTGGGAACCTCAGCTTGCTCCATGCCAGTCTTGGGGAGGTGATCTTCTAAATGACCTTTCTTCTTTTTCACCTCTTATGGCCTCATTTAGGTGAATGCCAAGGATGATGAAGGTGTCCTAGTTGGATCATGGGACAATGTGTATGCCTATGGCATCCCTCCATCGGCCTGGACAGGAAGTGTTGACATTCTACTAGAATATAGGAGCTCTGAAACACCCGTCCGATATGGCCAGTGCTGGGTTTTTGCTGGTGTCTTTAACACATGTAAGTATTCAATACAGTAATGATTTTTAACACAAAAGAAATTTTACTTCAAGTCATTTTATCTATAACCTGGCAAGGAGACTTAAAAGGTCCCATTGGCTCTATAGAATTTATGGGTGACTATTCTGGGATATAGTCAATGCATAATTAAATTGTGCTGGGCCAAATATGCTCACAGTCTCTCAGACTGCAGAATCTTTATGAGAAGAATGATAGACTGTCTCCTGCATGATCCATCATTTGACGCCCAGAGCAATGGAGGGTTGAAGGGACTGCAGAAGGAAATGGGGAAATCATGAGCCATTTCAAACATGTCTTTTAAAGATTAAAGAAAAACTAAAATAGCAAATAATAAGGAAAGGTATGTTCTGATTTTTTCTTGAAACAGTCTATAAATACACTTATTTGTTTATTGATGAGGTGTTTAGTACGTACATAGAAGCTTGTCCTAGATTCAAAAGGGAGAGTCAGACCACTTCATCTTCCCCTTCGCCTGTCAGTCTCAGGGAGCCAGACCAGGTAGGGATCAGTTCTCACCGAGCATCTTCACCTCCCCAGCTACCCTCCTGGCGCAAAGTCCATCCAACCTCCAACCTGCAGAGCAAAACAGGTGAGGACAGGCAGTTCTCTTGAGTCTTCTGCATCATTTTACCAAAGAGCACTTGCCTTCCTTGGCCCAGGCAGGGTCACAGTTAGTCCAGTGGATATTTTACAAACTCTACTTCACTGTCTTCACTGTGGGTAGCGATTGCATTCACACACTATCCCTACCACCTTAGAGAAACAATACGTTCAAGTCAGAGTGTCCTTTCTGCCACTCACTAATAAAGAGTGCTTTGCCTAGTTAACAGTTTTTAATAACACATTTTTAAAATGAGAGTCTGGGGGATATAGGCTTGGGAAAGGATACTGTTTTAAATGATTGTGAGACCCACCTATTTCAGCATAAAGTTGTGACAGACCAGGACCTAGTCCTGTTCCACACAAACAGAAATGACATTTTCTTTCCTTTATTGTCATTTCCTACGGCACGGCCTGTATAAGAATATTTTATGAGCCGTTTGACTATATTCAAGGATTAGAGAACATTTATTTCTTGGGAGCAACTGCCTTCCGGGAGACTGGTCCTATGTCCGACAGAAGCCTGAGCCATTGTGGTGGAAGATTGGATGGACTGTGTTCCAAGGGACTTTAAAGCCAGACTTCCACAGAGAAGAAGTCGCTCCCCTGAACTCATTTCAGGAAACTGTAAAAGACCTCAGTCCTTCCCACATCTAAATCTCTAATCTAACCTAATATTCAGCTACTGCTGTAGCTCAATACCTCTCGGTTTAGAACCAGATAAGACAGTGAAACCTTGCATCTACATATGCTGTTTGCATAAAGGAAGTTGGTTCTCTGTGCCTGAAAACAGACTTTGGCGGTAAAATACGCAAAGGCAGATTTGCACTATAAAGAGTTCACAATACAAACTTGTATTGATTGGAGGAACTGGTACCCCAAAGTCAGTCTTCCCCTGTCTTAAACTGAGAGGAAGGCAGACCCTGGAACAAGTTCCCTTCAGTGATAATGTGAACCAGTGTCCAACAATTCCCATTAGAATCTGCCGGGAACAGATCATGAGTGCCCATTGTTGTACTGGTCAGTAGAGGTTGCCTAGGAATGTAGAAGTGGGAAGTCAATGGTGGCTGTCACCCTGCTGTTTGGTGACTGAGGCCAAGTCATTTAAAGGACAGGACACAGAGCTCCACTTAACTCACATTTGGACTTCCAAAGGTTGTTCTGTTGAAAGGGCTGGATAGTCTTTGTTTTAAAAAAAAATGCTAAATTATTCTGATGGAGGGGAGGAAGGCAAGCCAAGTCATTAATCTTGAAATTGTCAGCTGAATTATTTCCAATGAGCCCTGATGGCTGTCATCCTGGGAGTCAGAGAGGGCATTTGGATTAAGCTTAATCAATAGGTGCATATGGCAAGAGATGCACCCAGGTAATTTATTATCTAACAAGTCCAATGAATCTGTGCTGCACTCCGTACAGAGTGTTCCAAGAGCGAATTTCATCCGGAAGTAGCGTGTCCCACTGAGGGGTTTGCTAACCCTAGCTTATGATGGTTTTTCTAAAAGCTATGTTTTCTGAAAATCCCATGTACAAGATTTAAATTACTGCTCCTTTGGTGACGCTGTGGTTAGGAAGTAAACTACTAAGTAGCACGTGACTTCTGTTATGAATGATCTCCTCGGCACCCGATCCTTGGTTCCAAAAACACAGTCTCTCTCCAGCTCTCAAGGGACTAAACAAGTCGCACTTCTTGGGTGTGGAGCACCCGAGGAAGGGCCTTTTCATGTTGGGAAGGAGAAGAGCCCTGCAGAGGGAAAGACTTTTTACTGTGTTTCTCTAGAGGAGTTGATGCGATTGTTTTCACCTCCAGTTTTAAGATGCCTTGGGATCCCAGCACGTGTTGTTACCAATTATTTCTCAGCCCATGACAATGATGCCAATTTGCAAATGGATGTCTTCCTGGACGAAGATGGGAACGTGAGCTCCAAACTCACCAAGGATTCTGTGTGGTAAGTCTGACTTCCAATGCCATGGACTGGTGTTGGGCAAGCAGGCCATTCCATGCGGGTTACAACATGGATTATGACAAGTGTTTCTCTTTTCCATTTTAAGGACCTTTCGGCATCAAGGGTGTAAATGTCTATTGTCACAGATTTTTTTTTTAAGTGGTGAATGGGAAATGTTAATGAGCAGACAGTTTGGGTCCTAGTGATAAAAGACAATCATCCATCTATATGAGAACAGTCATCACAGGCAGCCAGGGGCATAGCTAATTCATGGGCCTGGTTGGTTCTTCTGTAGGGTATATAAATATGACAGTTGATTAGGGACTGTAACCAACATGCACATCTGCCCATAATTTCCTGTGCACCAGTTTATATGCTTGTATAATCTTACTTGTTCTAACAGTTATATCAAGTGATCGACACAAGAGCTCTCAATTACAGATGAAGAAACTGAGGCTCAAAGATTTTTCTCAAGGTTACATATCTCTAAACTGGCAATACACTCCATCTTCTCCGATTCTTAACCCCACCTATTTTAACTTCAGAAATATGGAATTCCTCCTTGAGTATAGGCTTGAACTTGGCCTTGATGGTGTGCCCAGATTTCATTTAGAGATCAAGATGGGGAAAGGCGACACTGCTTCCAAACACTAGCTTCATGTGTCATTCACCGCCTTGGAGTTCAGTACCAGAGGCTGGCTTTCCTATAGAGTCAGCACCCAAAGAGGCTGTGCTTTCCGTAGAGAACCCATCGTTCTGATGCAGCACCCGTACCTTACGCCTCCGGGTCCAAATAGAGGAAACTCTATGTGGGATGAAACTGGGATGGAATTGGAGTTATTACCAAGCATTGAACTGGGTGAAATTTCCAAGCCAAAAAACTGTCCTTCGTAGTCATCCTTTGTAAGTCATCAAGTTAAATGCTGTCAGTAGTAAAAGCTCCCAGATGGGGATGGTGGGAAGTTACAAGCTCGTTTTGAAGAGAAGGTAAAAGTTAGCTGCACCTGAGAAAGCCACACTGTGGGCACGGATTGGCTTCGGGAGCAGCACTAACTCACTACGACCTGTAAGTGGCCACTAGGGAGGATTGAACAAGGGAAGTGGCTGAAACGCCCCCAACTCACAACATCGGGTTACCATGAATGAAAAACAGCCTCTTAGTTGAAGGAATGAGTTGAGACAGGGTGCTGGAGGGCTTGGGCAGGATAGAGCCTGGCTCATGGAAACCCAACAGCAATTTAAAGGACTGTTTAAGTCAGTGGAATTGCAGTTGACAGCCCTGTCTGTCTGAAATGGCCAAAATATCAGCCTCTAAAGTTCACTGTCAATGGTAATGACAGGATGAGAATTATTCTCTTTTCTCTGTAGTACTGGAACACTCGCACGCGCGTGTGCACGCGTGCGCGCGCGCACACACACACACACACACACACACACACACACACACTACCCCTTAATATAGGCTCCTTCACCCTCCCAGATCCTTTATCCAAATACTCCCATAGGTTCCCTATGAGGAACCTACCATAGTGCAATGAGGCCCCAAATTGTTGGTAAAAGTCATGAGGTGGACTGTTCTTGCTGCTGCCATCCCTTCATCTCTGACACTTCTGAGTCCTGTTCCCTGTCTCAGAGCCTTCCTCCAGTGTTTCTCCCAACCCATAAGCCCTTGATCCTAGTCTGATCTGCTATAATCCCAGTGTACACAGTGACCTAGGTTTCCTTTTCCTCGTCAGATAATACTCAGGAGTTTCAGTGTATGGAGATAAAGCATCTCTTTGACAGTGGCCTGTGCTACCCCAAATCAGGACACACCCAGACTCCAAGGACAGGGGCAAAAGGACTCAGCGTCTTGGTTCTTCAGCAGACCAGCTGTGTGACCTTGACAAAGGCAGACTTTCTCTGTGCCTTTCTCCTCCTCTAAAGCAGAAATGACTGAATTCCCGACTTCACTCAGGGCAGAGCCGAGTGTAGCAGGTGCCTAATGAACACTGGCTGCTGGGATCGCCTTCTTTATTAGATGCACAGCTGGAGTCTCGGGGAGGCAATATGCTTCCATCCTCCTGAGCACCTCAAAGAGAGGGGTGCGCAGTGTCCTGAGATGACTGGTACCTCTGTGACTTTGGGGTCTTTTAAAGAAAAGGTAGACACTTGTCGGGCTTGCACAAATACCAGGGTACTTTATAAAGTACGTCTGTTCCAGGAAGCCAGACCGCGTCAAGGACTCTCCTTGCTTGAGGGGCTGGTAAGGACTGTCCTGGACTTAACAGCCAAGATGCAGCCATCACAGCCACGCCCCCACAGCAAGCTTTGGGTCAGGCTGTTGTTTGCTGTTTGTCTTTAGGGAAATGACTTCACTTCTCTCAGGGTCTTTATGATCCCGACAGCTCCCACTTCCTAGCGGAGTAACCGTGACAAGGAACTCAATGAGGCTGTCCAGGTGGAACTCAGGTTGAGCACGTCTCATTCCCACACCCTAAATTTGAACTATTACGCAATCCGGCACTGCATGGGTACATGCAGAGAATTCCGCACCTGCTCTCATGTGAGAATCAGAATCACCACAGAACATGCTGAAATATGCCACGCATATGTGAAATATGTCACACCTCCGACTGTTTGTGAGGTGTATGACACCAAGGTCAATGTCAAGTCTAGATTTCGGTTCTCCCTCCAAGATACCTTACTATGTATATGCAAATGTTACGAAATCTGAAGAGATCCGGGAACTCTGGCCCTGGGATAGTGTTCTTAGTCTATACTGACTAATGGCAGGCTGATGCTGGTTACAGCAAGGCTGGCCAGGGGCAGGAAGGAAGGCTGGGGGAAGAGACTGACACTAAGCAGAGACTAAAGCGTGGGTGGGAACGTTTACTGAGCATCATCTGACTACTCAGACAGAGGCCACTCTTGACCTCGGCAGTTTTCTAACACAGTTCTGAGGAACAAGCAGCCTTGCCCAATCCCATGGACTCACCTCCCTCATGGAGTCCAATGTCCCCACAAAGGATCCCGCCCCAGGCTGACTTCTCACTCCTGTACTCAGCGTCAGCCCCTCCCCTCTCTATGGAAAGAAACCCACAAAAATGGATGCTCCACCTTTCTCTCGACCCTTTGACACTTCAATCCCAAAGTCCACAGACTGTGCTAACCTGATTTGTTTAATTTAGGACTCTCTGACCTAGGGCATCTCCCTTTCAGAATTCATTCAGGTTTATGAACGCCAAAATCAGGAACCAGACCAGCAGGGCCTTTCTGGGAGCAGGCTCAGGAATATGCAAGGGGAGGTGGTGTGGGGCACCAAGGACAGGTAGTTTAGCTTCCTACTTCCTGTTTGCTGTCTTAGGTCCCTGTGGTAGATAGACTCCCTAAGGGTGCCTGGAGGGAATGCAGCATGTAGGGGAGACACCTGTGAGTCACTGTAGGCAGTTTGCTAAAATGACTGACCTGGCATCTTACTGCTGGATTATGGGAATGTGAGGGCCTCTCTATGAGCGAGAGTCTTTCATGCTCGGTCGACATGGCAGCTTCACTAGGCTTTACAAGAGCAGTTTGGCCACCTCATGATTTGAAGGTCATTGTGGAGTTGGAAACAATTTTAAAAGAGAGATGTTGGCCCTTACCGGGTCAGGGAAGGTACTTCATAGCAGGGCTGCCCTCCTGCCTGTGCAGGTATCACCCTGTGTCCCTTGGCTAGAATGAGTAGAGTCTGGTTTGAGGACTCTGGGTGGAAAAGTGTGCCCTTCTTGGCTTCTACCAGTCAGAATGCAGCTTCCATCAGGAAACAGTGTCTGGTTTCTTACTTGGGGGGTGGGGCGTTGTTTTGTTCTGTTTTTTGCCTTCATCTAGCAGCATGCAGGGCATAGAGCAAGCATGGAGTAAACAGTTTCATTTGGGAAAACAATAAAATGCTCAGCAAATGAATGAACATCATTTTCTCATCCTACAAACCCTACAGCACATAACTGTCTCCAAACCTCAGGTACTGAGGCTCCGAGACAAAGTAATCAGGCTCAGTGCCCTTGAGAAGCTCCCCAGTGTTTGTCAGGAGACAGCACATATAGAATACCCTCCATAAAAAGCAAGGAGCCTCATAAGATGCACTGGGAAGCAGAAAGACCAGAGGGAGACTTTTATTCTAAACCCTGAGAAGCAATGCTGCTCTCATGGGAAGTGGCCATGGAGTCAGAGTCATTATCCTCCTGCAAACTTCTGGCTGTGTTGGCCAAAGATGGAAATCCCCAGGAAATGCCCTTAGTCCACAGATAGAACCCAGGGGTATGTCACTAAAGGTCCAAGGGCTGAACTGAGATGGTCAGACATTTACTGCTTCTGGGACCAGAGATAGACCTGCATGTAAGGATTATCGGTTATTATGAGATAGGTATTAGACATTCAGTCCATTTTCACTTTCGTGGAGGGGCCTTTGTAGTCCTTCCTGTATGTTAGCCAGAGCCTCTTACTTCATGCCACCCTCTGAAGGGGATAATGCTCCCCCAGCACTCAGGAGCAGTTAGTTCTTGCTCGCTAGGGCTGAGACTGAGTGGCTGTTACCTAGGTATCATCGCCTCTCCCCTATCCCCACAGTGATGGCCTGTTATGTCCTCTGCCTCCTTAGCGCAAACCCTGCCCTTGCTTTCTGATCTGCTTTAGAGGCCTCAACTGTGAGCATCCTCCCAGAGTCTCTCTTAGAACCTACCATCACTACCCATGGAACAGTGACCCTTGACTGTCTGTATCCCAGAGCTTCCCTCCCACCCGCTCCAGCATTCTCCTCGGGCTAGAGGAAGCACAGTTGCCCCTGGCTTAGCCATGGTTTCAGTTACCACTGTTGACTTTATGATGAGGCAAAGGCACGTCACGATTTAAACTTGACCTTTTCCACAGCTGGCAAGCTCTGATAGGATCCTCTCTTGTGACCCTGGGCTGAGGCAGATGTTCGTCGCTCTGGCCTAGACACGCTGCCACACAGGGAGAAGGGCCCACACTTCACAGTGCAGATG